CGAAAAGGGCACAAAAAGTACCCCCAAAAAAGTTAGATATATTGGACCCTCTGTGTCAGCTAAATTGGATTTGTAACTGATGATGTACACTTAGGAACAAACCCACCATTTATTAATATTTTGGTTTTTTAATATACATACGTTAAAAAGTGTCATTTAAACAATGAAAGCTCTTCGACTTATGCAGTCTACATGGATATACCCAAAAAAAAAAAAAAACGAGACTAAACGGTCAATATTTGCTTGTATAAACAAGAAAAGTGTCTTTGACGAGTGTTACTGTTACTAGTTACCACCATGCCATGACTACAAACATTTCCAAAAATATTAGGTTTTGAACTTTATAACTAAAATGATCGAGAAACATATATATAGGTTTAAGACATATAATGGTAACTGTAAGATGAGATAAATGCAAAATTCTTCAAATCCGGATTCGTAATTTGTGTTATCTGGTATAAGAAAAGCGTTTCTGTTTATATATTATCAAAATGTGTTTTTTTTTTTTTTGGTGATCTCATCAAATAATATAACTCAACTTGCTGTTTAGTATCCTTTCGCGTATCCGTCAGCTACGAGAAAAGTTCAACATGAAAAAGTTATGATATTATTCAATTAAAGTGTGTGAAATAATACGACAAAATTAAAAACCTAACTTTTACTTCATATATATGATTAAAGAACGAAACTAGAATTATGTAATATAATTAAGACATAGACAAACAGGGTAATGATGTCTGACGCTTATCCGCCTAAGACCTAAAACCTGTGACACATCGATGATCGATCATCGTCGACTTCTACTTCAAATAGAAAAACAAGAGTGACGACCAAATTTAATTTTATAATCATCGTCGACTTCTACTTCGATATCACAACGTTTACATTGTTTATAATCATACGTACATCTTTTAACCCTAATGTAAAATGATAACATTTTTTTTTTTTAATAACTCAATCACGACGATATATATATATCAGTTCAGTATAGTCTATATATATATTAGTTTAAACTGCGTCTAACAAATTATTCAGTTGGTGTGATATATTATAAAGCATTGACTCAATTTTCTTATGTGGTTGCTGATATTGTGTGATCTAATTACAACCAGAAAAGTGACTATTTTTAATTTGAAATCTATTAATTATGTTGAACGAGATCTGAGTGAATATTATTAAGAGGTTTTTCGACTTATTAAAATTTTCAACTTTTTTCTAACATAATTTTCTATATTGCAATTTATTTCCTCCATGTTATAAAGTATTCTATCGTATATTCAAAGCAATTTAAAAAATGCTCCATGTGTATTTTCGTTTAGTTAAATCTCTAACTAATTAGAGAGACTAAATTATATAGTGGTATATTCAAACATAGTTTTATAGTATAAACTCTATGGTTTTTGCTTGGTACGTATTTCTATAATTAGCAACGGTGTGAGTGTGACCATACGCACATGAGGAAATACAACTCAAATTTGATTGGGCAACTTCTCAAGCTACCTAGAGAGCTCTCTTACTTGTTTTCTAAAATAAAAACTATAAATGCAGTATTGTTTATATATTTTTTTGCGAAAGATTGTGATGATTAGTATCTCGCATTAAACATGTGGAAGAAGACCTTGATCAAATCGATATATTAGTAGTTCACATATCAATATACGCAAATAAATCTATAAAATAATTCGACATCACATGCATTATGCATATTATTAGCATATATATATATATATATTATATATATATATATATATAATTTAGTCATCATTATAATTTCAAGATTCAAACATATAACGAGACCATTCTCCTAAACCACGTGGATTAAAAAAATGTGATAATCAAGAACTTAATTGCTTTGGACATTAAGTTGACTTAAATTAATCACATACGAACAAAGTAAGTAACTTCCACAAATCGGCTGTGCTTATAAACCCAACTTTTAATCCATTTGTGTCGACCAAATCGAACCAACCAAAAAAAAAAAAAAAAAGCCTCTCATCATTGTCTTGATATAGATATATATGCAAATATACCGACGACCTTTTGAGACAAAAGCTTGGCAGAATCGAATCTGTCCAGCGGAGACTATGGTGAAGATTCATCCCGATCTGACAACCTCCGGCGCTGGAGAAGAAACAAGTTCGCCGTACTTGACGACGGAGAAAGAGAGTTTCACGATTTGGATGAAGTCGTTGGTGTTCAACACAAATGGCTGCACCGTCTTCAATTCCAAAGGAAGGATAATTTATCGTGTTGATAATTATAACTCTAAGAGCTGCCGTGAAGTTTATCTCATGGACTTGTCCGGTCATGTCTTGTTCACCTTACGTAGACAGGTATGAGCACGTCCCTCTTCATGCAGTTATTTACTATTTAAAGACATATATAACACATTTGATTATTCACAAAACTAATTAAACTGTTCTGTTCTTTTTTATGTGTGCAGAAATTTGGATTATTTAAGACTTGGGAAGGATATAGATCATCTTCGGGAACAGCCGAATCAACATCAAAATTAGAATATTTTCGAGTGAAAAATAAAGTTTTTCAGATTTCGAATAAAGACTCATCTTCTTCGTATAGAGTTGTTGCGGGATCGTGTAGAAACGATGAACAATATTGTTATAAGATGGTAAATCGCGGAGCAAGTTTGGCGATTGAGGACAATAGTGGGAAATTATTGGCAGAAGTGAAGAGAAAACAATCGAGGAATGGTTTGAAGTTAGGGGAAGATGTTTTGACGATGACGGTGGAGTCACAAGTTGATCACTCTTTCATCGTTGGACTTGTTTTAGCTAATAGCCTTATCAATTGTATTCTGTAAAAAAAAGCAAATACTTTACTTGACCATTGCTAAAATAGCAAAATTGATGAGATTTTTGAGTTGTAAACTAGCTTCTTCTTCTTTCTTTTTTAGCTTTTACAAAGCTTTTTGTAGTTGTTACTTATGATAGTATATTACGATGGTATACTATGAAATATATGTAGTACAACTGAAGTTAATTACTTGTTGTAACTTGTTAGGTAGAGTTTTAATAAAGCGAGTGTAAGCTCTCTTTAATTTCTATATTTTTGAGAGTTGAAGAATTGATTTAACAAAACAGAACAAATTAATCTCTATATGATAAACTAATAATTATTTTGGAGCTGAATTTAATAATTTTCTATGATAGGAGCATACTAATTTTATACGCCACTAAATTTAAATGTTCGAGGACCCAGCTAAGTCTGAATTGCTATTCGGTTTTGCAGCGGTTCTTAAAGATAATTTTGAGGCCAAAGATATCAAATTCATCAATGTTGATGGAACGACAAAGCTGCAGACAGTTGCATTTCACAGCAAATCAACATACTCAGTGATGTAAAAATGTAAATTCCAAGGCTTTCTGGATACAATCTACGCACATTCAGGCCAACAACTGTATCTCAGTTGTGATATCATTGGTACCATCGACTTCATCTTTGGCGACGCGACTGCGGTATTCCAGAATTGTTTGACCAAGAACCCCACTTTTGGAACAGTTGATTACCGTCACAGCGTAGGTTGTCGTTGATTGGAAAGGTAACACTGGTTTTTCCATCATACACAATAAAATCATGCCGTAAAATAGCGGTGATAAAATCTGACAAAAGTAAACAAACAATATAATAAAATAAGCAAAACATAAGCAAACCATGAGCAAAACATTAGAATTATATGAGCAAATTTTAGATGAATACAAAATATTATAGTATGTCTTTAACTTTTGAGATTTTTCTTTCTTTTCCATAGTATAAATTAGGAATATTATGGATTTTGTATAAATTTTGGTTGATGAGGAGCCAAGGAGGTAATGTTAGATGTTTTTTTTCCTCTTCATCTAATGCTATCATGCATTATTACTATGATTTTGTTTTGAGTATGCATAATACGATTATACGAAGCACGTTTCATCTTTTTAATTATCACAATTTCATCGAGATCAGAATAATTAATGTCATGTTTGTCAATTATCACATGATAAAAACGTTTATCTGCCGTTAGTTATATGTGGCCAACTTCATTCTTCATAGTACTATACCATATAACGGTTCTATGTAGTCAAGTTTGCCGTAACTCAAAGACAATAATATATGATGTAATATTGTTTCATGGTTTTTTAAGTTGTTATATATATCTCGTCGTGAACAAAGCAAACATGTATACCGTATAACGGTTCTCTATAACAGAGACACTCTTGTTAATTCATCGTAGTTCCCGGTTTACGGGTTTGTATATACTAATCACTGAAGTCGCAATTTATTTTTGTAAATGTAACTCCGCAATTGAGTATTGAATACCACAAATTTACTAGTAATCCGTTAAATAACCCTCTTATATTTCGTTGTGCAATCAACTGTTTTAAATTTGTTTAGCTGTTTTGGTTTTGGTTCAATTGGGATTTTCCAATTGGTGCTTCCGGTTAGAAAGTGGGGTTATTATTGTTGGTTAAGCTTCTAGATGACCTGAGGCCCAAGATATCATTAACAAGAAGGTTAATGACAAGATAGGCTTAAAGGAACTTATCTAGATATAGAAATAGGAAGAGGAAGTTTTCTATTTGTCAGAGAATTAGTAAAGGGAATTCTAATTCTATAAATACCTTGATTGAGTTGTGCTCAAAGGTATGAATTTTTGTGTTTAGTTTTAAGCTATTTTCTAAACATAATAAAGAGAGATATTCTTTATACAAAGCTTAAGTGTTTGTCTTTTTACTTTAACTTTCACTATTTCGTAAAATTTGTGTTTAATTTTCTTTAATTATATGTGTTTATGTTTTTAGAGATAACCAAAAGGCATTTGAATACAATTCAATTGCTCAAAAATTCATTTTCCAATGCTATATTCGTTAACAGCTACTTAAATTAAATGTTTGCATTTATCTAAAAAGACCCTTCGAATTCAACATCCAACGCCATTATTTAGCGTGAATATGCACCTTTTGTAAAACTAAGAGACAGAGTAACTAAGATCATAGAACAAGATGAATGATGGTTCGTCGTCATCATCATCGTCAAGCCCAAATATGGACTCTGATGTTCTGGTAGACGAAACCTACTTCTCCGCTTTATTCGATTACGATGAGGTTTTCCCAATCTCCGACGAGAACTACGCTACGGAGCTCCATCTCCAAGAAGCTCTGTTTTCTTCCTTGGTCGCTTCTACTGTTGGTGTTAATCATCATCCCCAAGTCCAAATTAATCTTTTCACTCAGGTTAAGCAGGAACCGGATATCAAGCAGGAACCAGAGATTGATCATCATCCCCAACTCCATATGAATGTTATCACGCAGGTCAAGCAGGAACCAGCTGAGATTAAGATGGAACCTTTCGAACCATCAAGAATGCTCTGTAATATCTGTATGGACGAAAAACCTTCCTCTGACATCTTCCGAGGAACCACCAACTGCACTCACTCCTACTGCACCGACTGCACCGTACGTTACGTGGCGACTAAGATCAAAGAAAACGCAGCGAGGATCAAATGCCCTGACGTGGAGTGCACGAGCCTGATAGAGCCGTACGCTTGTCGAGATCTGATCCCTAAGGACGTGTTCGATCGCTGGGAGAAAATCTTGTGCGAGTCGCTAATCTCCTCATGGGAAAAGTTCTACTGTCCGTTCAAAGACTGCTCGGGGATGATGGTGAACGATGGAGGTGGAGATGCTAACGTGACGCAGACGGAGTGTCCGTCTTGTCACAGACTGTTCTGCGTGCAGTGTAAGGTTGCATGGCATGCGGGGATTGGCTGCGAGGAGTTCCAGAGGTTTGGGAATGCGAAGAAGAAGAGTAGTGATGAAGAAGATGCTTTGTTGATTCAGATGGCGAAGAATAAGCAGTGGAGAAGGTGTCCTAGGTGCAAGTACTACGTTGATAAGGTCGATGGTTGTCTTCATATAAACTGCAGGTTCGTGTTCTAATCATTACAAATCTTACGTTTTGTTTTTGCTTAGCAAGTGTCTCCAATACTAATGTCATTTGGTCTTGGGATGTTTTGTAGGTGTGGGTTTCAGTTTTGCTATGGATGTGGATGTGAGTGGGTTTCTTCTCACGCTTGCCCTATTCGCACCTAAAGAAATAAGTCCCAATCTTTGCGTGTTATTCTATCAAATTTATTAAGGATATTGAGTGTGTTTTTTTCATGTTTCTTTTTCTTGTGTGTGGTGTGTTAAACGGTCTCCTTCTAAACCAAGTTTGTTGAGCGTAAGACTGAGGCCCATCATATCTACTTTAAGCCTGTTAATCCCCATTATAAATTTGCAATAAATGTCTTTTTCTTTTTTTTTGTTGAACTATAAATGTCTTTTTCTATGGAAAAAATAAAATGTCTATTGGAATTCTTCCCGGTGAAATTAATTTTAGTTTCGTATATTAAATAAAAAATTAAGGTTTTCAAAAGGTCGATTCGACTTTGATAAACAACTTAAAGCTAAAGCGGAAAAAAAAGAGTAATTAGAGAAAAAGGTCCATAGTATGTTCCACTTTAGAGAGCTTCCTACTCATTACTAGACTTCCTCCATAGTCAATAATAATTGGTTTTTACTCTAAATAAAAAATCTATAGCCTCTCTCTTTTTTCATACCCCCAAATAAAAAGAATAGTCTTATTTTACAATAACGATAGATGAAAAATTCAATGATCTTAATGTTGCTGAAAAATTTGCCTGAAAAATTCTGAAAAAATAAAAGTAAAGAATAATACACTAGACCTATTGTCCGTATTACCCGCCAATACAGTTGAATGTGTACATTCTATATTTTGTTACTATATTATAGACTTATTAAACTCTTGTAAAAAATAATAAAAAAAGAAAGTAGAAAAGAACAAAAACACGTGAACACAACACACTGCTTTGGTCTCTTTGGTTTGTAAAAAAAAATTGAGCATTATACTGTCTGTAGGAAAATAATAACAAAGGCTCAATAATAGAATAAACATCGACAATACTAGTCAGGTGGATTTCTATGGAACTTAAATAAACACATCGTAACTCGTATTTATTATGCTTCCAAAGGTTTTTGTTTCCCCTAAGCGTCAAACTAAGAATTATAGAGTTTTTCTATTTTTGTAGTATATACATTCATATGATCAACACTTTCGTTGGACAATTTTATCCACACAAATAGAGTTATTTTGGTCAAAAAAACATTTCATTTATCTAACAACTAAATCTAACATTGGACAAAAATAATCAATAATAATGCCTTATCCTCATTCTGATTAATAATAAAAGTTTAAGTTATCCTAAGATTCTTACACGAGCGAGTCGGAACACATGTGGGGGAACCAAGCAAAGACCCACATCTGTTTAGTCTCTAGCTTTACCAAATATCCCCAAATGACATGAAGATCCTTATACTTTTGTTTGACGTGTAGATATGGAATCAAAAACTAGATATATAGAGTAATAATAACTCGACAAATATCCCAATCAAGGTATATAGAAAACTTTATAAACAAATGAAAACCCGTGAACGAGACATATGAATCTGTCACCTGAAACATAACTGCAACTAATGTTTTTATCTTTCCTCTTCGTGTTCATTCAATTTCTTCTAAATGGACAATATCTATGTAAGAGAATTTAGTAAACAAAAAAAAAAAATCTCATCTACTACTCTAGTTTCAATCACTTAATGACATTTATAAGGGTATTTACGTCAATAAGCAAAGCAACAAAAATAAAAAAAGAAAAGACAGTGCCTCCAGCTCACAGAAACACAACTTCTTCTGCTTTGCTTTCTCTGTACACACTTAGGGTAAACCACAGTCTCTTCCTCTCTTTCTCCGCTTCTGTATCAATGTGGTACCCTCTACCTTCTTCTTCTTCTTCTTCTTCTTCCTCCTCCACTCACTAACCAAAATCCACAATCTAACTACAATAACAAAAAAACCCTAACTTTCTCCGTCAATGGCTTTCTTCTTCTTCCTCTTCCTCTTGACTCTTCTTTCCCCATCTTCTTCTTCCTCTTCCAACGACCTCAACTCCTTGACTTACATCGTCCACGTCGACCACGAAGCTAAACCTTCAATCTTCCCTACTCACCGTCACTGGTACACCTCCTCGCTTGCCTCACTCACATCTTCTACTCCCTCCATCATCCACACATACGACACCGTTTTCCATGGCTTCTCCGCAAGGCTCACTTCACAAGAAGCTGGCCAGCTATTAGACCATCCTCATGTCATCTCTGTTATCCCAGAGCAAGTCCGTCACTTGCACACCACTCGTTCCCCTGAGTTTCTCGGGCTCAGGTCCACCGACAAAGCGGGTCTACTCGAAGAGTCTGATTTCGGGTCGGATCTTGTTATCGGAGTAATCGATACGGGTATTTGGCCAGAAAGACCTAGCTTTGATGACCGTGGTCTTGGTCCTGTTCCCATTAAATGGAAAGGCCAATGTATCTCTTCTCAAGATTTCCCTACCACGGCTTGCAACCGTAAACTCGTCGGAGCTAGATTCTTCTGCGGTGGTTATGAAGCAACCAACGGTAAAATGAACGAAACGACTGAGTTTCGCTCTCCGCGTGACTCCGACGGACATGGAACCCACACTGCTTCAATCTCCGCCGGCCGTTACGTTTTTCCGGCTTCGACACTCGGCTACGCTCGCGGCGTCGCTGCTGGGATGGCTCCGAAGGCTAGGCTCGCCGCGTACAAAGTCTGTTGGAACTCCGGCTGTTACGACTCCGATATCCTAGCTGCTTTCGACACAGCCGTTGCTGACGGTGTTGATGTCATCTCTCTCTCCGTTGGAGGCGTTGTGGTTCCGTATTACCTAGACGCCATCGCCATTGGAGCTTTCGGAGCTATTGACAGAGGGATCTTCGTCTCTGCTTCCGCCGGAAACGGAGGTCCCGGTGCTTTGACGGTGACGAACGTTTCTCCGTGGATGACAACAGTCGGAGCTGGAACAATCGATAGGGATTTTCCGGCGAGTGTGAAGCTCGGGAACGGGAAGATGATATCAGGTGTTAGTGTTTACGGTGGACCGGGTCTGGATCCGGGTCGAATGTACCCGCTTGTCTACGGTGGTAGTTTACTCGGTGGTGACGGTTACTCTTCGTCTCTGTGTCTCGAAGGCTCGTTGGATCCGAATCTGGTGAAGGGGAAGATTGTTCTTTGTGATAGAGGAATCAATTCTAGAGCAACCAAAGGTGAAATCGTAAGGAAAAATGGAGGCTTGGGGATGATTATAGCGAATGGCGTGTTCGACGGCGAAGGTTTAGTCGCTGATTGCCACGTGTTACCGGCGACATCTGTTGGTGCTTCTGGAGGAGATGAGATACGGAGGTACATCTCTGAATCGTCCAAGTCACGTTCATCGAAGAAACCAACGGCTACGATTGTTTTCAAAGGGACTCGACTTGGGATCCAACCCGCACCGGTTGTGGCATCATTCTCCGCGCGTGGGCCTAATCCTGAGACGCCGGATATTCTTAAACCGGATGTAATCGCACCTGGTTTGAACATTCTAGCTGCTTGGCCTGATCGGATTGGTCCATCGGGTGTTCCTTCTGATAACCGGAGAACCGAGTTCAACATTTTATCAGGCACTTCAATGGCGTGTCCGCACGTGTCTGGTCTTGCTGCTCTGCTTAAGGCGGCTCATCCGGATTGGAGTCCTGCGGCGATAAGATCAGCATTGATGACAACGGCTTATACGGTTGATAACCGCGGTGAGCAGATGATGGATGAGTCCACTGGCAATACGTCTTCGGTTATGGACTATGGTTCGGGTCATGTTCACCCAACCAAAGCTATGGATCCGGGATTGGTCTACGATATAACACCTTATGATTACATCAACTTCTTGTGTAATTCTAACTACACAGGAGACAACATTGTGACAATAACACGTCGTAAAGCGGACTGTGAAGGTGCGAGACGAGCGGGACATGTTGGGAATTTGAACTACCCGTCGTTTTCGGTCGTGTTTCAGCAGTACGGAGATAGTAAAATGTCGACGCATTTCATTAGGACAGTGACTAATGTAGGCGACTCGGATTCGGTGTACGAGATTAAGATAAGTCCGCCGAGAGGGACTATGGTGACGGTTGAGCCGGAGAAGCTATCGTTCAGACGGGTCGGGCAGAAACTGAGTTTTGTTGTTAGGGTGCAGACCACAGAGGTGAAGCTGTCACCAGGAGCGACAAATGTGGAGACTGGTCATATAGTTTGGTCAGACGGGAAACGAAATGTGACAAGTCCGTTGGTGGTCACTCTTCAACAACCTCTGTGATGGGTTTAGGAATTTTGGTGGCCGGGAAAATCCTAGTCTCCTATGTTATAAATGAAGAAGGACGATCATATAAGTAGTTGTTCTTGTCGTCTCGTCTATGATCGTTGTTGGGTATTGCTTGTAATATAAAATATGTATCTTTTGTTGTTAAGTACAAGATACAGCATCTAAGGAACATCCCATATTTTTTTGTATGTAGAGTCCATTAGTCCAATAAGCCAAAGAATACCTTGCACTTGTGATGTGGGCTTTGGATGAGGCTTGTAAAACTTAAAGCTCCAAACCCACATTGACGCACTTCAAGATATTTTCTTTTTTTCTAGGCGAGTTGGTGAAAGTAGCAACAAAATATTGTGGTTTGACTATTCATTTTACTTATAATGGTACCAAAGTCACTTGCAAGTTACAACCAAGAATCAAAAATATACTTATACGCTATTAGAATACGCAGAATATTTTTTTTTTAAAACTAAATTAGTGGTGATGCTGATTTTAATCTTACCATTTATCATTATTTCCCGGTTAAGCCAAAGTTGAAATGATGTTGCTTCTAAATTTTGTATGCTCAGAAATAGAGGGATATATTACACAGATAGGGAATATAAAAAAAAAGGATTATATAGAATAATTAGAGCCTAAAAAAATACTGTAGAAGTTACGTGTCTGCAGGTGTGAGTGTGTAAGTTTACTGGTAGTAGTGGCAGACAGCAAAGATTTATGAGTTACAAAATAAAGGACTCTTGTTAGATTTTTGAGATTGAAATATTCGATTTGGAAGCTTTCTAGATCTTTTTTTACAGTCACCTAAAATAAATGCAGCTCACCTACCAGTCAAGTAACTTCCTAACTTTTAAAAATAATTGGAGTGCGTATATATATAGATTATATTATATATAAATGATGACAAAATAAAATAAAATAATATAGACTATATATATATATATAGATGACATTCAATAACGAAACAAAAATAATTGCAGGATGGGGGTAGCAGCATTCAAAAAGCTTTAGAAGACATCATCTTTCTGTTTCTTGAGATCAGCTATTTTAGGAGCTTTGTCTCAATCGAACCAATAACAAGATAATAATGGTCCTACCTCCCTCCTTTATCTTCTTTTCTTTCTTTCTTTGTATGTGTACAGTGTACGTACTATTGATACATTACCGACGTATACGAGTTACTAAAATACAATCGGTATACAATTCTCCCCGAAGACATATTCATTCTTGAAAGACACATTGAAAAGAGTGATTTGCTTTTTAAAGACTTTGGATCATTTCATTTAAGAGCTTGAACTGATGGTGATATATATGCAATTAACAATAAGTTGAAGAAGTATATATAATGAAGATGCTTGTCAAGTGTGGTGTGGTGGTACAAGGGGTGGGACAAGGACAACGCGAAGCCTTGTCGTAAGTAAAGTCCCACTTGCGAGCTCTCAACTTGTCTTTCTTTTATCTTTATCTCTTCGCCTCTTTTAAAGTCTCAAGAAACATCGTCTAACACACAACACACACACGCATCTCATTTTTGGACCCTTTCCAGTTTTGCCAACTCCATGATAATCTCATCTAGGGATGGGGTTCATTTATTTTTTGATGCGTCAACTCAAAGATAGTATTATAAAAATCTCAACAAAGCTCGTGGACTCTGTCTAACGCAAATGATTGATTTGTAATCTTTGGCAATTATGTGGGAACTACGACAAGTATTAAACTCAGCATTTTTGTTTTTCTTACTGTTAGAAGTAGAGAGTATCAATCTCTATCTATTTTAGAAATATAGTTAGACCGTTCGTGTTTATTGTTCAATTATGCGGTCTACATATATAAAAGTAGCTTGTCATTTTCTTTTGTCACTTTAAATTATCATTCCATGTATTATCATCTCTGATTTATTGTTATTTTTTTTTATATAAAAAATGAAGATAATAATATTAAATAATGCATGCACCTAGTTATCAAAACAATGCATGAACCTAACAATTATTTTGCACTATGCACAGCCTCCTTTATTTACCGTGGCATGTTACGCGGTTACACTTGGTCTTCTCCTCAACCGCATGTTATCTTTTTCTCTACTTTTCCTGATTTGCATGAAAGTTTTGTATGACTTCTCAGTTCTCACATCAAAGTGAAATATATATAGGAATAAATAATTATTTAAACATCAATTTAGACCTCATCAAGAAAAGTTCCGTTATCACTTTTTGGCATTTGTAATTACAAAATGATTATCAGTATTCAGGCAGTTTACTGGAGACTTTTTTTAAGATAAAATATAATTTGTAGTTGTTAAAATTTCTGTATAAGTGTCACTATTCTTTCTTGTTTTTTTTTTTTTTTGAAACTGGTTTTATATATGTAAAAGTAATAGTTTTGTAAACAAAATAGACACATATCGAAAGTCAAAAAATAATATTAATGAGAAAATAATAGTACATGATGAACAAAAATTTTCATTTTTAATGTTATTCATGATTATCTTCCATATACAGTGATTACATCCAATAGAATCTACACAAAATGTAATGCTCTAAATTGTGAAATTATATTCACCCACCTAGGCCATATGACAAATTCAACTTAGCCATTACGAGTGGCAAGTGAGGGTATAATAGTAAAGAAACAATCTATATAATATACGACGCACCCTTTCTCAATCTCTCTGGAGAGAGTAACACAGACTAATATAATAGAAATCAAGAGAGAGATAGAGAGAGGAAATTAAAAAGAGAGAACCCCGAAGAAGATAATATTTAGAGTTTGGTCCGAAAGATTCTATTTCTGATCATTTTACACCCCCTGAAAGAGTTGAGCTTTTGTGAAAGCCGCCATGTGTGGAGGAGCTATAATCTCCGATTTCATACCGCCGCCGAGGTCCCGCCGCGTGACGAGCGAGTTTATATGGCCGGATCTGAAAAACAAAGGGAAAGTATCGAAGAAGAGATCGACGAAGCGATCAGATTTCTTCGATCTGGACGAAGAATTTGAAGCTGATTTCCAAGGGTTTAAGGATGAGTCGTCTTTTGAGTGCGATGATGATGTCTACGCAAATGTGAAGCCTTTTGTCTTCAACGCAACTACCAAACCTGTAGCTTCACCTGCCTCCGCCTTCGTCTCTACTGGTAAAATACTTGGGGGATTGATTAACTTTTTTTTTTGAATGGGGTTTTATGTGTTTATCTCTCTCTTTCTCTATCGTATGTTGAGTGTTAATTTGGATGTTTATTGATGTATTGGAAATATTCTAGCCAAAAAAAGGTAAAGATCTTTGCAACTTTTCAAGGTTTCTAGGGAAAGGACCTTCTGTTTGGATTCATTTTTTTACATGATTGTTGCCTTATTTGAATTCCAAAAAAGGTAAAATAATATTGAGAATTATGGCATCTATTGTTATTTGACTTTTTTTTATATGTTCATGAAATGTTTTAGATCTTGGTTTTCAAAGGCTTTCCTTAAGTGTCTAGCGTGGATTGTTGTTTGTTGTTTGAAGTCTTTGGAATTGGTTGATCTAGTTAGTCTTTTTTACCATCTGCTGTCACTATGTTGATTATTTACCAGCTTACCGGGATTTTGGAGTTGTCAGTTTTTCCAGATCTTATCTCCTGAAGAGTTGCAGCTATGTTTATGTATATTATTGGCTGTGATTTGTGAATTGTAATCTTCTATTTGATGGTTTCATGTTTTGGGATATTAGCAAAGTTTTGTGTGTTTGTGGGATATACTGTCTGGTATGAGTCTCTGATGGTTCAATTCAGCTAATGATTGATCTTGTGTGTTTGGCTCCAATAGGTTTTACTTCTGCCAAGAAAACTGTAGAGTCCGATGGCCAAGCTGAGAAATCTTCTAAGAGGAAGAGGAAGAATCAGTACCGTGGGATTAGGCAGCGCCCATGGGGCAAATGGGCCGCTGAGATTCGTGATCCCAGGAAAGGCTCCCGAGAATGGCTTGGAACGTTTGACACAGCTGAGGAAGCAGCAAGAGCCTACGATGCTGCAGCACGCAGAATCCGCGGTAGCAAAGCTAAGGTCAATTTCCCAGAGGCGAAGATCCCTAGCATCTCCCAGAAACGCCCTAGCGTTAGGACCAGTAATCTTCAGAAACCAGTTGCTAAACCAAACCAAAGCCCAACATTGGTTCAGCAGCCAACATATCTGAGTCAGCAGTACTGCAACAACTCTTTTGACAACATGGGACATGAGTCTTTTGGTGATGTGAGTTTCATGGAAGAGAAACCTCAGATGTACAACAATCAGTTTGGTGTAACAAACTCGTTTGATGCTGGAGGTAACAACGGATACCAGTACTTCAGCTCTGATCAGGGCAGTAACTCATTTGACTGCTCTGAGTTCGGGTGGAGTGATCACGGCCCCAAAACACCCGAGATCTCGTCAATGCTAGTCAATAATAACCAAGCTCCGTTCATTGAAGAAACCAATGCAGCCAAGAAGCTTAAACCTAACGCCGAGGACAGGATGAACCACAATGATGAGTCTGATGATCTCATGGTATACCTTGACAACGCCTTATGGGACACTCCACTAGAAGTGGAAGCTATGCTTGGCCCAGATGCTGGTGCGGTGACTCAGGAAGAGGAAAACCCAATGGAACTGTGGAGCTTAGATGATATCAGTTTCATGCTGGAAGGAGACCTTTGAAGTGATTGATGGTTCCTTAGTTTGTAAATAAAGCTGTGTGTTGGTGAGTTTCAATCCCTTCTGAACTAAATCATTTTGAATCGTGAAGACAAACAACCTTAGTGCTGTTTACTTAATTCTTAAATCTTGTTTTTCTTTTATGTACAGGATTTTGCTGTTGGGGGATGGTACAAGTCACGCCTAGCTCTTGTCTCAATGGTATCTATCTTATGAGTCTTCCTTTTCCCTTGGGAGGGTCTCTTTAAGTTTTCTGAATAAAAAAGGTGTGATGAAGTATATAGAGGTATGATATATCTAATGAGTCAATGTATGTTCCTTCATTTTTGTCTTTCTTTCTATTTAAATGACAGTTTATTAATCTTCTGAGCTCTCTTGTCATAGCGTATCATCACCCTCGAATGTGTTTTTGTTTTGTTTTGTACCCCCTAAACATATTTAACATTATAATAAAATTATCTTTGGAACCTCTCTGTTTGTTCTCTGAATCTTCTCTCCCTGACAGAACTCTGCTTGGTTGATGATATATTGAGGAATGCTTTCTAAATAAATCAGTTTTGTTTTAAGCGCAACGAATTAAAGTTATTTGCTGAGAAGGTTAAGAAACCCTGAGCACCTATATCAAAAGAAATACCAAATAGTGACTCGAAACGTTTGCTTCACTAGATCTCCAGAGACCATCATTTTCCACGATTCCTAAAGAACTACTTCAAAGCCGGTCAAGTAGGTTTGGAACTATATTGACAAAAGCTTTTAAAACGGGTTCACAGTAAAGTCATCAAGTTGAGGGAAGATGGCATGTTGCGGGAGCGGGCCGTTGAGGGTAATCAATACATGAAGATTCCGAAATGGAACGTCGCAAGGTTATGAGCTTGTGAAAACGCTGAAGATTACGTCTTCTTTGATCCCTCTCATTTGATGGAAAAGGCTCAATAACAGATCTTCTTTGGTCCCTAATGTCACTGCACCTTACAATCTTAAAACATTGTTTCAGACTCTAGGCTTTTCCCACGTAAACGGCTTATTAATTTGTTTCTCCTCATTCTGGTATGAAATGGAATTAGAGTTTTACAGCTTACAACATCAACAACCATTTACTTATTTCACAAAAAAACAGAACATGACTGGGGGTTTTCTAGATTGCTTGCGCTGGAAGATCGGACACGGATCTAACTACGAGATCCCTTATATTCACAGGAGAGACGACATTTTTGTCTCCGGAATAAAACAGATTAGCGATTTCTCCATTGGTTTTCTCGGTGTTGTGACGCCCGTCGAAGAACAGAAATGACTTCTGGTAGCTGCAGAGCTTCGAATGCACGTTGTTATAACCGCACCCGAATGCATTTCTCGATCCAGTACCACAGCAAGAGGTCGTCGCATCAGTATATCCTAACCATCACAAACACAATCTTCATTTTAAATGATAACTAAAACAACTGAATCCAAACGTTAGAAGGAGATCAACTTTTTGCTATCTATAATCTAATTACCGTGGCGTGACGGTTCACTGATCCTCCGAAGGATTTCACCGTTGAAATCGAAGAAGCTGTACCGAAAGCCACGGTATGGTACGGTCATGGCACGGAGCAAATGAATAAGCCTTTCATTGTGTGTTTTCACCATGAAGTTAACCATCTCCAAACAACTTTCACCTGTCTTAAACTCTTGTCTCACTATTGGTAAGCAACCAAGCGGTCCCAAGTTCTGTACCGCAAACTTCCTCGCCCCACCTGACCGGTATAATTTCTGCATATATCCAAAAAATACAAATCAAACTTGTAATGGCTTAGACCAAACCCGCATTCAAAACCACAGACCCGACTAAAATCTGGACCAGATTAGTCAATCGCAACATTGTTTTCTAGTTGGATCCAGCTATAATCAAGTTAGGAGACATGTAAATAAGTATAATACATACCATGAGCTCTCTTGATATCCTAGTGAGAACGCTGGCAACTAGAGCAATCTGCTCTGCAGGATTAGCATTTGGATGATCCTTAGCAAAATTCAAGTAATCATCAGCTCCGATGTTGATCATGTATACACCATCAGCTCGTTCTTCATCAGTCCAGTTCTTACGTATCTCTACAAATTTCGATATCTGTTCTCCAAAATTCATCTGCAAAAAGCCCAAAAAAATTGAACACATAAGAGTTATACAAAACCCCTCTTACTAAGTATGGTGATTGGTGAGCGAACAATGCTTACAGCTACAGTCTTAGATTGAGATCCAAGAGCAACAGCTCCAGCCATAGCGAAGCTTGCTCCTTGAGAAAGATCGGCTTTTGGATCAAGTACCGGAGGAATTGGTTCCTGTTGACCAATCATTCGACCTAATTTGCAATTAGATTTGGAATCAATTACAAGAACACTTAAAATGAATTGTAAGACTTTTTGTTTATATCTTGTATATTTTACCGACGAAGTCTGGGACAATGTGGCCGTCCGACCAACGACCGGTTGGATCATCGACGGAGTCGCCGTAAGGCCACACGGTGGCTGGATCGAACACTGAGGAGAAGAACTTCGTGTTGCCCACATCGTAGGAAGAGTCGCCGAAAGTGAATAAGAGAGGAGGCTCGCCGGAACCGCTCACCGGGAGACTGGCGAGTGTAAAGGACGTTAATACCCCTAAGAAGAAGAGTGAGTTAGTGTTCTTTGCCATTTTTGGAAAGGTTTTCTTAGCTTTTCAGTCTTTTGTCTTCTTTACTCTGTTTCCATGTTTGACCTTTTTAGTGTTTATGCTTTGTGTTTTGTAGTTAGGCATGTCAATTAGGGCTAAAGCCCGCGGGCTAGTTTGGCCCGGCCCTGAAAAACATCGGGCTCGGGCTTAAATATATATGTCCAGAAAAAACCGGGCCTTTTGGGCTAAGCCCATTCGGGCTAAAGGGTTTTTTGGGCTTAGCCCGGTCGGGCTCGGGCCGACCCGAAAAGCCCTTATACAAATATATTTTGAATTTTTTGAATATTTTAGTTTGATTAAAAGATTTGATTAATGTTATAGTTTTCATATTTACTTACTAGTCTTACTTATTACTTTTAAAATATTTATACAAAGCTAAAACTAAATATATATAAGTATCATGATTTTGAAATCATCAAAATATCTATTAAATTTTGACTCTATGTTATACTTTAAAGTATTTTAGTTCCATGTTTTATTGGGTTAAAGTGTAAATAATTTATTTGGCTTTTATTTTTTTTTCTCTTAAATTAAGTTAGTTTTATTGAATATTGATAAGTTATTTAAAATTTGATGCATTATTTTAATAGTAGACCTTTAAATATAGTTTTTAAAAAACTATTATAAACTTAGAAATTGAATTTTTTATCGGTAAATAAAGCTCGAAAAAGCCCGAAAAGCCCTGTAGCCCTGTTAGGGCCGGGCCGGGCTTTGAAATATAGGCTCGGAAATTTTTCGGGCCGGGCCGGGCCGGGCTTACATATATGAGGGCTTTACGGGTTTCGGGCCGGGCCGGGCCGGGCTAGCCCGATTGACATGCCTATTTGTAGTGATGCTCTACCAAACCAATTAATCATTTGCTCTACCAGACCAATTAATCATGTGCTCTACCTAACCAATTAATCATGCGCTTTTTCAAACCAAACCGAAATTAATTCCGGTTTGATTATCTTTTTAACTCTAGAAGAAGTCAACTGGAACTAAAACCAAAAAGATATTATAAGTGTGTCAGAGATAAATCATAAATGTGACGAGCGATCCAATTTAGATGTGGTTACCGAGGTGGGAACATATCAGAGATTTTTACTTGCAAAACTTCCAACCACCCTTGTCTGGTAAATCTTCCCAAGCGATACTGTCTTTAATAATCTTGGCACAAACTATCTATCTTGTAACAAAAGTATTCATTAAGATTGTTTTTGAGTTAATGATGTCGTTAACTCAGCAAGAATTGTACATCATGTAACAACAGTAATCACAGTCGTCTCTGTATATATATCTATATATCTTATGAAGAGAAATTAGTGTTGTATTGTATGAGAGAAATCGATGAAACATTAAAGTCAACATGTCTGAAACCACCCTCTTGTTTCAGTTGTTTGGTTTGAATTTTTAAAATATCAGATAGCGAACAGCAATTGGATATCCATAGTACTTCAGTGGAGAGGAAAACTCAAGAGTTTTAATATGTAGCACCAGAGACTGCAATATTTCATTATTTTAATTTCCATAGATTACATTACGAAACATGATAATACGTTTGTAGACATTTGAAAGCAATTTTTATTCGGCGGCATAAGTAGAAGTAGGACGTAACGATATCGATACTTTACACGATAGTAGCTCGTGTATATGTAACTTAAGATTCTTCTCAAAGTGATGCATTTGACTAATAGGTAGAGAAACCGGTGTAGGAGTCGTCCTGAGGTGGGCGACGACGAATCGAAATCTTGGTAGGTTCCCAAAACTCACGCATCCTCTCTCCGGATGGGTAGACAATGAGCTCACGTACGTTCAAAGGTTGGATCACGTTAAGGTTGGCTGCGTAGAGAAGATTAGCGAATTCTTCCTGCGCTTTCTCTGAGTTGTGACGTCCATCGAAGAAGAGGTAAGATCGCTGGTAGTCACATAGCTTTGAGTGCACGTTTGCTTTTCCACAACCGTAGGCATTATGTGTCCCAACACCGCAACACGATCTGTCTGATACGTAGAATCCTATATATATACATACATATATTGTTGAGGTATTAATTTGTATATCAAACAATTAAACGAACTCTTATAAATTTGGTCGGAGGACGTTGGATCTTACGGAAGTTGAGGTGTCTCTCTATTCTACGAATAATAGCGTCGTAGAAGTCGAAGACAGAGAACTGAAAACCGTCAATGTCGGTGGATTTAGCAAAATCGTTTAGCATTGGACCGATCTTTTCGTTGTGTTGTTTGGCCAAATCGTTGAGTAGCTCGTAACAATCGTTGCCGGTCTTGTAGTCTTGCCTCGCGATCGGTAAGCAGCCCAAAGGTGCTAGCAATTGAACCACAAATTTTCTCGCTCCCAAATTGGCTAAAGACTGTAATCATATAACCTTAGTCAATTGAACATATTTAAAGTAGATAAACCAAACTTTCGAATGTTTCTATTAGGTTTATCGACAACTTACTTTAATGTCAGTCTTTAATTGGCTAGTGACGGAAGTGACAAAAGCTTGCTGCTTAGTAGCGTCTGCACCGGGATGTTTCTGGACGTAGTTCAAGTAATCTTCCGTGCCAATGTATATCATAAACAATGACTTTTTGATGTAATCACTGGTCCAATTTGATTTCATAGTTTCGAATGTAGCCACTTGTTGACTCAGTGTCATCTATACTCACAGAAACAATCAAAACAATTTCACTCTTTTTTATTATTATTGATTTGATTTTAACTTAAAATGAAGACCTAATTAAAGTTCTTAATTACTACATACTACTCCTATGCAAGTAAAAACCTAAAATCTATAACTTATAGTCTTAAATTAATGTTTTAGAAAAGTAGACTTACAGATTCCGCCGGACTCCCAAGAATAGAAGCATCGGCGACAGCAAAACTAACTCCACGTGTAACATTAGCATCCGGTTTAAGCGCCGGTGGGACTCCGTGCGGAATAGACATGAAATCAGCTATAACAACAACATATATCGTTATTTATTATATCTTGTTTCATACTAACATATACAAAATACGTACTATTATAGTGCATGCGTGAACCAAAAAAAGAATCGGGAATCTGAAGGTATAAAATTCAGAGCGTACCGATAAAGTCGGGGATGATGTGACCATCGGAAAACTTGCCATTAGGGTCGTCACGGGATTTGCCGTAAGGCCAAAAGGTTTGGGCAGGGTTTTTTTCCTCGCTGAGAAACACTTTGTTTCCGGCGTCGTAGTAAGAGTCTCCGAAAGTGAACAACGCTACGTTGGGAACACCCTCCCCGGCGTAGACGATGATGGGATGATTGTACATGGCTAATACCAATAACACTCCCAGAATTCTCACAAAACTATGATTGTTTGCCATCTCAATTATTATTAGTCAAGTGAGCAAAAATAGAGGAAGATTGCTCCGGTGATGAACTTCACAGTTCACTTGGTCCTATTTATATTGCAAAGGTTGGTAAGTTATAGAATTAGAGTGAAAATAAAACACAACTAGAACGTAAAATACCATGCACCTTAATTAAATATGAGGACCCCCCATAGCATGCATGTTAGGTCCGAAATTCATTATAATTTTATTTCTGAAGTATAGTTTGTATTAGACATTGTTCTAGGCTAACTGATCAGTACTTATTTTGCCAAGTGTTCATCGCCATACTCTTTCTCTTGGTGGCCTAGCTAGCTTCTCGCTTCACGCGAAGGTTGCTGAAAGAGCGAGATTTTTTTTTTTGCATACAATTATACAAATATGTACAACTTATTAAAATATTAACAACCAATTCTTATATAGTAAACAAGCAATATATAAACACACAAAAAACTGTGTAATTTCTTTATAATTTTTTTGTAATTTGTATTTTAAGTTGAGTGAGTACAACTTCAGTTAGAATTAGATAACGAAAATTTGGTGTGAACCTCTCCGTCTTGCCATCGACTAATGGTTCAATCTAAGATAATACACCTAAAAGATCACGAATTCGATTTCTTTGGAAGAGACTAATTTATAAAACATTGGTCTTGGCTCTAGAAGATGTATGAATCGAATACTGAAACTTTCAGATTTCCTTGGGAATTAATCACTTTATGTTTTGTCTTGGGATTCTGAACTTCAATATATCAACACCATATATCTCAATAATCAGTCCTCCAAACACTTTAGGATCCATGGCTTCCATTAGAAACACCATATCTCATATCCCTAAAGACTAAAATACTTCTCACCAACACTATTTGCAATAATAGAGACAGACTAGGGAGGACTTATACTGTTCACAATATACATTTTGTACAAAGTAAAAATAAGGTTTGATAACTGTAATATTGCAAACGAAAAAAATGGCCAACAAAAAAAAAACTTAAACAAGGTTAAAAATGATACGTAGTTATATAAAATAAAAGGTTCAAAATCATATGACATAATTGATCAATAAGGCAAAACAAAGTTGTTTAGTTTAAATTCTTGAAACAATATTGAGTACTAGACCAAAGCAAAACTACCGATTTAGTTCTTTCTCGACAAGCAACAAATTAGTTATTGCAGGTCGCAATGTGCATTTAATTTTCACCAAGAACCCCAAACGGTCCCTTCAGTTTAGTTTAATGTCTTTCTCTGATCATAATAACACATTTGTTGTCTTCATCGTCATACGAAGTACTTTTACGATGATTTTTTATTTATTTTTTGATTAAAAACTTATACGATGATTGCTATGGTATAATGATGCGACAAAAGATTGATTGAGATACATTATTGACTACGTACGATAGGGAGTTATAATGGTAATCGATTGATTCAATGGTCCCTTTGAATTAATGTATATGCAGGCAAATTAAAGAGCTATACGTTACTATAGTTTACACTAACACTCTCTTAATAACCCATGTACTATATGATTTATGATGGTAAAAACAGAGAGTCGTAAAAGATAGGTGATATCAATCAAATATGTTGTAACCAACTTTTTTTCATAAACCAAACTATTTAAATGTTGCATGCATGTTTATAATTTTAGGATGTTATCCTATCAAATCTTCTAAGTTGTGGCTACTATAGAAAAGATAAGGACAAGGCCTTAAATGGCTTTTGATGGCCTGCATGTACGTATGGTCAGGGACGACTCTGGTGGTCCTGGAAGGAGAAGCAGCAAGCTAAGCTAACCTTAAATAAATCTTTATAGTCTGGGGCCTGTTGGTACATATTTTAGTTGATCTTCATTAAAAATGGGATGTGTTGCTTTAAATTTTGATTTCGATCAAATAACCAGACCAGACACAACTAAAATTTTGGTACGCTTGTTAATGAATTGTACTAGAATTCGACAACAACACAGAAAAATGGTCCCTATTGAGTTTGTGTTGTGACAATCAAAAAGGCAGTGGGTCTGGTGCTAAAAACACACGTGACTAAATACATAGGTGAAAATTAAGATTCATGGTGGTCATGATTACCATTTTTACCATATATTAGGGGTTAAATATTTTTTTACATAGAAGTCTATCCAGATTATAGTCGAATTAAGGATTTTTGGTTTTTATGCTGATTTTTTTTTTTTTGTATCAACAATATTTATAAAAAATGCTCATAATCTCTTATGGATGCTAACGAAACTATTTTTTCCATCATCAATTATCATTATTCCAACTCATATCTTAAAAACTCTTTTTCCCCAAAGGTATGACATATTGCAGTTGAGTTAGCAACACCATATTGGTTACTTTAATTTTTAAAAGTATAATTTTTCATTTGTTATTGAACGGCCATGTTATCCATGGAGAGGGTAAGTATTCCCAAAGTCATTTGTTACAAGATTTAACTAGCTACCGACGATTTTTATTTTTGCATGGTACTCTTTTTTTCAGACAATTCATCAAACCCTCATTCCTAACTCCTAAAGGTCCTTCTCCTCTCAGAAACTTCCTCCACTCTAGTCTCTCCAATGGGGGATCCTAATTCGCTCATTTTATCTCTTCCTTGTTTACTACTCACTACGTTAGCTCTTCTCCACTACCCCACCTACTCCGTCGCTCAGACGCTCTTCGTCTTTGGCGACGGCTACTACGACGCCGGCAACAAGCAGTTCCTCTCCGGGAACCGTGTCGACGCCAATTCTCCCCCGTACGGAATTTCCGTAGGAGAAGCTACTGGACGGTGGTCCGATGGCCGTATCGTTCCAGACTATCTCGGTAATATATTTATGATAGTGATCGCTTGAAATCTATGAATAAGGTTAATTTTCATCGTGAACCAGAATGAATATAAATCTGAATTATTGTGTTGTGTTCTACGCAGCTGGATTCATGAGTATCCCAAGAATCCCACCGATCCTCCGCAGCTCTGCGGATTTCAGTCACGGAGCTAGCTTCGCTGTCGCCGACGCCACCGTCCTCGGTTCCCCTCTCGAAACTGTAAGCTTTAGTATTTCTTGAAAATTCCCATATTCTCTGTTAGGTTTCTTCTTTAGGTTATGTTTGTAAATATTAAGCTGAGATGTTATGCATAATCTGAATTTGACAATTTTTGGACATATATTTTGGTTAAGGAAGAAGATTAATTTACGTAACCTTTTTTTATCAAAAAACATTAAAAAGTTAATTTACGTATGCATTATATGGTATGAATGATTTACAGATGACTCTGTCTGAACAAGTTAAGAAGTTCTCTCGAAACAAGAACAAATGGACTGATAAAGCTCTGTCAGAAGCTATCTACTTAACTTACATTGGCTCTGATGATTACTTGAACTATGCCAAGAGTAACCCAAATCCCTCTGCTGATCAAAAGCAAGCCTTTGTGGATCAAGTCATCACTTCCATAGAAGCCGCAATAAAGGTAATACAATGTTGAGCAGCTACATGATGCTTTCGATTTATTAGTTACATCTCTCTCTTTCTTCTCCAGCTCGTTCACGAAGCGGGAGGGAGGAAGTTCGCCTTCCAAAACTTACCACCTTTAGGCTGCTTACCTATGGTTAAACAAGAGACAGGAAACGAGAAAGACTGTGTCAAGTTGCCTTCAGAAATGGCAGCATTGCACAACAACAACTTATTGAAGCTCATAGAGAAACTAGCACAGGATCTTGAGAGTTTCCAGTACTCGTTCTACGATTTCTTCAGCTCAGTCCAGAACAGAGTTTTCGAGCCCGAGACTTACAGTAAAGTCCTTATACAAATCATCATTTCTTACGTTTTCAAGCCCGGTCCATTTATGGTACTTTGTGTTGGTGCAGTATTCGGGACAGGAACAGCTGCTTGTTGCGGGACAGGGACTCTAAAGGGGACAGATTGTGCAGCCAAAAACGTGTGTGTCAATCCAAAGGAGTACGTCTTCTTCGACGGTAAGCATTTGACGCAAGAAGCGAACTTTCAGGTAGCCCATTTGATGTGGAATGCAGACCCTCAAGTCAGTGAACCCAACAATCTCCGTGAGCTTCTCGTATTTCCTCTCGACATACCATTCATCTACAATGTCAAAAGGCTTGACCAAGTTGGTAAAACTGGCTCCTTTGTGATATAAAACCTAATAAGGTTGTGTAACTGAAATAATCAAGGCCAGGGTTGTACGCATACTGGCACGTCTTAAGATGCTCTACTGTTTGTCGAGTATATATACATATATGGGCAACTTAAGGAAAATAATAAATATTTGATTAATATATTATGGTGATGTTGTGGAACTACAAGTTGATTAATAGGCCGTACGTATTAATAGCTAAGCCTGTGGCCTCTTATGTAAAAAATCCACGACTTGTTTAATCAAAAAGTTTGGTAATTTAGTGAAATTCCACATACTGTAGTTTTATCAACTGTATTATAGTTTACTTACTTCTACATTAAACTAGTCACGAAAGTATAGTTTAAAAAAACGCCGTTTTAAAATATTCAAGCCGGATATAGTATTTATGGCGATATTTTTTTTTCTGTAATAATTTTTGCTAATAGCTATCAGCCGCAAATCCTATAGTAATACATTGAGGAGAAGGAAAACATATTCATGAGTATAAACAAAGAGAGTACGTAATAATGTCAATAGTTAGTTGGAAAAAAAGGTCATGAAATCAAGAACAAGAAAAGAAAAGATGAAGAAGTAGTAGTGGTTAGCCAAAAAGGGACACCTGTTCTCTCAATCATTGAAAAGTTTCACTAATTTCCACATTATCGGCTCTATGTTAATCTTTCTCTCCCTTTCTTCCTTTTTGTTATCTTTAATCTAACCTTTTTTTTTTATCTGTACCTAAAAATGTACTTACTTTAATCTCATTCCTTTTAACCAATTCGGATTAATGCAGAAGTGATAGGTTGGTTTAGGGCTCTTTAGACGATCGATAGCGTTAGAGTATACATGTTCAAGTCTCAATCATTTGCCCTATATATAAAACAAAGAAAAGTTTATATTATCAAACAATCTTGAAATAAATTTATACAGTATATAAAGTAAAGGCCAAAGGGGTCATTTGGAAATCCGAAAACAAATTTACAGGAGTTAAACACTGATTTGATTTTCATGAAATCTACAGGGCCGTCTTACATCTGCCAACATATGTAGTTATGTATTATATATTATGATTATTGTTTCAACATGTTTATTTCTAAAAGGAGAAAATAAGATACAGTAATGTCTTAGAAAGACCCCTCCTAGCTGAAAATGTTAAAGAGTGGTTTCATTTCATGTCATAGGATTGTGTTGCGTGATGTGATGAGTTCCATTTTTTTTTTTTTTTGCTTAACAGCGAATAAATATACTAGTAATTACGTACAAAAACAGCCGCCAAGGTGTGGTCCAGACAAAATCCACGTGATGCTCGTTGTGAAAGGACGAAACGCCCACGTTATGCCACGTCATCCGTGCCAGCTGTTTCCAGTTTCTCGGGTTCAGGGTCTTTCCCATGTTGTTATCTGTACAGGTCACACTTGACATTGACACTACTTCTCCCCCCCCCAAACTTGGTCGTCTTTAGCCGTCGGATGTACATTATCCAACGGCTCGGGGGTTTCACATTCACGTTCTTCCTTCTCATAAACGATAATTAGGTAATTGAATTACCGTAATGCTAGTGCTAACTATTTCCAAGTCTAGCATGCATAGAGAAGAGAGTAGCTAGGGCCGATTTAATTTTATATGAAACTATGAAAGTGACATAAGTTGAAACTTCTATTACAGTATTTTGCAAATCTTTTGACTATGTAACGGAGGAATTTTATATTATAGTTTTGGCAAAGGGTGGGCGATAGAGAATGTAACAATAAATCAAATCAAATCTCCACGTTGAGAATTTTCGAAATTAGATTATGATTAATGGAATATCAAGCTGACGATGGAATATGAGCATATTAGTATATTCTTCTTTTTGTTTATCCTAATATTCCATTCGCTAGTTGATTTTTTTGCTTCTTCTAGTGATTCTATTCTCCAATCCACAACTTTTTGAGAAGCCAATGGCCCGACGCCAAATCGAATCCAACTTACATATTATTATACGAGAGTATACCAATTCATTTTTGCCCACATGTTATTTGTATATTTTAGCTTCGGGTGGTGGTTTGAGATTAATAATTTTGAAATCACTCATCAATGTGTCTAATGAGTCATTCATTAATGTCCGTTCATCCATAATTTAGAAGTTATTTTGATATAGTCTTCGAGTAGATTTATTTAATTCACTTATTAGAAACTTCGTACATAGTTTCACGAGAACACTGCTTACTGTTTTTTTTTTCTTTCTGTTTGGGGTCAGACTTCGTCTTTTAATGTTATCTTTTGAATGGACACCTTATAGCATATACAAATATAAAAATCATTTGGTAAGTTAATAGAACTGACTAATTTAATCACGCCAGAAAAATATCTCGAGAAAGGTTCACACAAGGAACGTTGTACTCCCGTACACGTTTTGCTTAATCTTCTCATCGCTGTAAGAAAAGCACGAATTGGTCTTTAATTAATTATTTTGTATTAACATATATTACTTAATGTAAAGTGAAAACGAGTTTTGACATCATTTGTAAATTACAGAATCAACATGCCCGAAACTGCTGACAGTGTTTTTTGTCTTTGACTTGTATACTTCATAAGTAGCATGCAAAGAAAACGTTTTGTGGAAACTTTATCTTTTTGGCTTCGGGTGGTGGTTTGAGATTTATAATTTTGAAATCGCTGATTTGTTTTCTCCTATCACGAGTTTAGCACTTTGTTTTGTCATATTTTGAGTTTGCATGGTTCCGATGCTAACAAAGAAACCGTAGGCTTGTTCTCTTTACAGATTTTTTTTTTTTAAATAGTCTAATAACTCCATTTTACAATTAAGTGTGTATTAGCATTATTTTATTAATTTCATTTTTTTTTTACTTTCATCAAAGTGTTTTCCAACTTTTTTACTGTGCATTTTGTTCTCCATTAATTTTAGTGTGTTTGATATAAACTCTACTTGTATATCTATATTAGTGTTGTATTAGCCATCTAACTACTAAAATTAAAAACATTTGTTTGTTTATTCTTTAATTTTCTTTTTTTACTTTATGAAAGTAATGTGATATTTGTCGCATTCGATAATCGTAGGCAATAACGGTGTTATGATTTTTTTTTTTTGTCGTTTTACATGACTAATATAAATGTTCATTGACGTAGTATGATAATTTATTTTTTAAAAACAAGCGTTTGTATTTAACGTTGACAGTTCACAAACGATCGTGGTAGTTATAGTTTTAACGACCTCAATTAATTATATTATAGCGTAGATCGTGGATTTGACAAAATATATATGTTAAATGTCAACGTAAACAGAGCCAATCGAGGTAGTTATAATCAAACACTTCAATCGATTTGTTTTGACGCTGAAATTTTATCTATCTATTAAGATATAATATATTATATGCAAAATTTATAAGTGAACTATTTTTTCTTTGATCATATATTGGAAATATACATTTTTCTTAATTTGTTAGGGGTATATTTCCTTGATCATTTTTTAATTATGACTTATATTAATATCAATATTGGTTGGAATTAAAATACAAATCTATATTTATTTATACTTGTATAAGAAGTAAAATAAGAATCTATATTTACATTGATTTCTGTTTCTGATTTTTATATACCATAATAAAGTTACAAACTTATAATGTCTTCATTTGTAAAGAAAAATAGTAGTTCCTTATTTTTGTGTGTAAATGATTTAAGCTCATATAAGTGCTAATTTTTTATTCAGCCAGCTCATATTAGTTCTAATTTTTGACCAAGAACAATATAGTTTTCACTTTCAATAACACATTAGGACAAGTTCTACAAAATTTTGAAACATTAAAAAACTATTAAATATTTTTTACTAATGGAACAAGTTACAAACATTTTACTAGTCAAACTTACCTTTTCGAAATATTATTTCTAAAGAAGCGTTTTTTTTCTTCTCTCTTTTGTTATTTTGGCAAAGGACAAAATATAATTACAGATTTAGGAGATATTTAAACGAGCGCCCAAAGTTAAAAACTTGAAAGAAAAAAAAAACACATCCAGTAAGCAAAAAAAAAAAAAAAGACATTTTTATTTTTTCTCGTTAAATTTTTCTGTGGTTCCGGTCACCGCAGCTCTGTCATCATCTTCTTCTTCTCTCTGCATCTTCTTCTTCTTCTTCTTCATTTACCAATTTGAAATCTACTCAGATTCTCTGTGATTTTCCCCCTCAAAATCTCGATCTGTATATCGTGTAGCGAATTTAGGATCGTTGTTTGTGTCTGTGTTTTTGGTAACAGTTGTAAATTTGAATTATTTGAGCTTTTGTGTGTGAAGTCAGATTCAGTTTCCTGTGAGCTGTAAAGATCTGGTTTGGGGGGGGGGGGTATATCGTTCTGTGATCTATTTGGGGCTTTTGTTCCCTTTTCTCTCTCTGTGATTTCGTTTATTGTTGTTTTCGTCGGCCCGAGTTTACCGGAGCTCCGGGTCTGACGTGATTTTTTCAAATGGCGGCTTCAGAGAGATCAATTGATAAAGAGGTCGACATGAGTTCTTCGTTTCTCCAAAAATTCAGGCTTTACGAGACCCGCTCGGTGATGATTCTCATCTTTCATCATTGATTCTCTCTTTTGTGTGATTTCTTATGTGTGTTTTGCTGATTCCAGGGTTTAGGGCGATTTTGATTTCTCTTTTTGATAAAATCCATAGAATTGATAATCTGATTAACCTATGTTTTGTGCAACAGAGCTTCTACATGATTGGCAGAGATAAAAACCGAACGTCTTGGAGAATCCTGAAGCTAGATAGGACAGAGCCAACAGAGGTTAACATTTACGAAGATTCAACGGCTTACACAGAAGCTGAATGCTTTGAAACTTTGAGAAGGATACATGAAGGAAACAGGTCATCTGGTGGACTGAAATTTGTCACCACTTGCTATGGGATCATCGGTAATGAATGTCTTATAGCATCAAGCATCTGATTCTATAATCGGTACTAGTTTGTTTCTTCTTCTTTTTATGCTTAACATTTCTTACCTCGATTGTTTCTTGGTTTAGGATTCATAAGGTTCTTGGGACCCTATTACATGCTGATTATCACTAAAAGAAAGAAGCTTGGTGAAATTTGTGGGCACACAGTTTATGGTGTAGCAAAGAGCAAGATTATCACCATTCCACATGCCTCTGTGCTATCCAATGTGGCTTATTCTAAGGATGAGAAAAGGTCTTCTTATGTCACTTCTGCTTGTAAAATGGAAAACCTGTACCTTCCTACTTTTATCCATACATCACATTTCGGAACTATTCAACTTTACCACTTGTATTTAGATTTTAAGACCATTCTGTTGACATTTTTCCTCTCCATTGTGTCTCTCTTTGATCTGCACATTTTTAGTGTCACAGGTTTCTATTAGACAAGTTAACAGTGGTTGAGGTAACTGTGATTGAATTCGTCACAGGTTATTTTCAATTTGTCCATTGCTGTTGGAGATAATCCAGCAGCTTAGAGTTTCATTAATATCCTTTCCATTTGTTAAGTATTTAGTCTTTGTTGCACTTTGTGCTTTTCACTATTTCTAGGTATTCTTATCCCTGTCTGTACAGTGGACACATTTCTATTTGTTGTATTTGTTTTGATATGTAATTTATGACCGAGGTATTATCAAGAAAGGGAGACCTCTTTTTTACTTTCTTCCAGTTTCATTTATCTCTTATATTTAGAACTTTGATTGATCTTGTACCTTGCTTTCTTTTTCAGATTATTTACTGATCCAGGTTCTAAATTATTTCGTTTTTTGTTTTCTTCTGTCTTCCTTGGAATCGTTATAGGTACAAGAGGCTACTCTGCACTGTTGATCTCACAAAGGACTTCTTCTTCAGCTATTCCTATCACATCATGCATACACTTCAGAGGAATCTGTCTGACAAGGTGGAAAGACACACTTACTACGAATCGATGTTTGTCTGGAATGAATACTTAACTCGGAGGATTCGGAATAATGTTAAGGACTGTATGTGGACAGTTGCATTGGTTTATGGATTTTTCAAACAGGTATTACTTGTACTAATTAGTCTAAATGTTTCTATTAGCTTTTCCTAACAGTCAGAGATACGCATATTACAAGTGGGTTTTGTGATATTTTAACTTCATATTGAAAATTCTACTGCCCATGTTTCATGATTTCGACTATTTGTGCGCCATGAGAGAAGAAATTCTCTTGAAAATTAGGACTGAACTCTATCCCCTACTATGTGGATACCTTCTCTTCTTTTGTCTTCTGATGCAAATTAATGTTGTAAACCTTCGGAATTGCTTTTTTGTTGTCTAATATATAGGTTAAGCTATCGGTTGCTGAGAAGAGCTTTAAATTGACTCTAATTGCTCGCCGATCTCGACATTATGCTGGCACAAGGTACAATTTCTCCACTTGAGCTTGTTCTACCCTTGATATGGCTAAGCTGTAATGGGCTAAGTCTTAGTTGGATCATAATCTGCTATCTTTTCCCCCAGATATCTGAAGCGTGGTGTGAACGAGAAAGGCAGGGTAGCTAATGATGTCGAGACAGAGCAGATCGTTTTCGAGGAGGCTCAAGATGGAAATCCCGTCCGAATAAGTTCTGTAGTTCAGAATCGGGGTTCGATTCCTTTGTTCTGGTCTCAGGAGACCTCACGCTTGAATATCAAACCTGATATTATATGTATGATCTTCTTTCTCCATCATTATGTATTCATATCAATTCAAATTATTTTTTATTGCTTTTTTGTGCTGATATCTCTTATATGTGAAAAGTGTCAGGGAAGGATCCCAACTTTGAGGCAACCAGACTGCACTTTGAAAATCTTGGAAAGAGATATGGGAATCCGATCATCATACTGAATTTGATAAAGGTCTGTATGTTTTATTGTTTATTTCTATTTCACTATTATTGGTTAATCCAACCAGACTGCTTCTTAGTTATTTCTAATTCACTTGATTGACAAAAACAGACGCGTGAAAAGAGGCCTCGGGAGACTATTCTGCGTGCAGAGTTTGCAAATGCAATAAGATTTATAAATAAAGGGTTGAGCAAAGAGGATCGTCTAAGGCCTCTTCACTGGGACTTGCATAAACACTCCAGAAAGTATGTGTGGACACAACCTCATATGCTTCTTCGTTTTGTTTCTTTTCATTGCAGTTTCTATTTACAGAATAGTGTTTTTACGAACTGAAAATGGTTCTTTTCTTTTCCAGAAAAGGAACAAACGTGTTGGCAATTCTCGGCAGGTTGGCTACTTATGCTTTGAACTTGACTGGCATCTTCTACTGTCATCTAACTCCGGATCTTAGAGGAGATGGGTTTCAGAGCCAGAATCCATCCACCTTGGAGTGAGTATCCAATTTACCAATAGTTCTTTATCTTCTATGTAGTTAAGCCTCTAAATAATTTATTTGCCCAAAAATAGGCTCTAACTAATTTAACCTTTCGGTTTTTATTGTAGGAACAACAATGGTGATGGTTCTTCTTATGATCTACCCTGTAAAGATGAAACTGCACCAGATTTGGCTGTGGAAAGTGGTAATGATAGTAAGGATAATACTGAAGATCGGCAAAAGGAAGATACCATGCTTCAGAAAGGTGTCCTGAGGACCAATTGCATAGACTGTTTAGATCGCACCAATGTTGCTCAATATGCCTATGGTTTGGTAGCATTTGGTCGTCAACTCCATGCTTTGGGTTTGACAGAGTCTACTAATATAGATCTAGACAATCCCCTCGCTGAAGATTTGATGGGAATTTATGAGACAATGGGAGATACGCTTGCACTTCAGTATGGAGGATCCGCGGCACACAACAAGGTCTCTTTGTTAGCTTCCCTGGCCACAAATTGTTGCCTTTTGTAGATAAAAATTTAATAGATATAATTATTAACCAGTGATCTTATTTCTGTGGACAGATATTTTGTGAAAGGCGTGGTCAATGGAGAGCAGCGACTCAGTCACAGGAATTCTTCAGAACTTTACAACGTTACTACAGTAACGCCTATATGGATGCCGAAAAGCAAGATGCAATTAACGTGTATGCTGGGTTAAAATATTTCTATATTTCCTATGCCTCTGGTATGAAAATAGTATTTGACTTTTGACTTGTATTTTTCTACAGGTTCTTAGGATACTTTCAGCCACAACCAGATAAGCCAGCGCTATGGGAATTGGGTTCTGATCAGCATTACAATGCAGCAAGATTTCTTGCCAGTTCTGTACCAGAGAATTCAAGGTACATATCCTGGCTAACGAGACACTTTTGTAGAGAAGTTTGGAACATTGTATGTTCATTAGAGATACTTACATTCCATTTGGTTGTCTATAGGTCTACGATGAAACGATCTCTATCAGAAAGTAGCATCCTTGGCGAGAGCAGCACATCCGCGTTGGGACCAGTAGCTAGACATGGCTTAGCTGAAAAAGATGCAGAAGTTAAAGGTCTCTCAGATTCAGCACCTGAGATCTCAACGTCTAAAACTGCAATGATAGCTGCTAGTTTGAGGTATAAAAAGCTTATGATCTCTGTAAAATTAATCTGATAAGTTTGGGTTCTTGTCAGCTAAATCTGAGGGGGAGTGGCTTTGTTTTGCAGTGCTCCACCGCCAATATTAGAGGAATTAGGTTTAGATGATATTCTTGAAAACGATTGCTTCTGCTGTGATGGGCATGGTGAGCAATGTACATGTGCAGCTTTTGATATGGATTGGGTATCTTCTTCAGGAAACTCTTGTGAAGATGAGAGTTACGGAAGGTAAGACAAAAATGATATGTTTTTGAATATCTAAATGAGGCTAATGTTATTGTTATCAACCAGAAAACGTCCTCTAATGTCTTGACCTCTATCATTTCTGCAGATCCACAGTGGTTAGATCATTTGAAACCGTTCCTGAAAGTACAAAAGTAGAGTCAGAAATTTGTGTTGTTGAACCAGATTCCTGCAATAGAAAGGTAAAGAATAAGTTTTAAACACGAAGCAGCCATTGATGGATTAAAAACCTATGCTAATACCAAACTCTGCATTCTTCTTCTTTTTATACAACAGGAAAACTCAGAAGCCATTTCCGGAATTCCTGAAGGCTATGTGAGGTGGGTGATGGATGAAGAGGGACATTTCTGGTGAGAATAGAGCTGCTAAGAAGAAAAAAAGAAAAACCAAAAAAAAAAAAAAGAAAAAGAAAAAAGAGAAACATATCTTTTAGTGGTGACGGGTAAAGAAAAGAGTATCAGCGAAGAAAGTAACTGAAAAGAAAATACTAACCGCCGCTAATTTATTATTATTAATCGGATTGAAAGGAGCAAAAAAGGGGTGAAAACGTGAGAATGTGAGAGAGACTGAGAGAAGAGGATAGAGCAACAATCTTGTAAATAATTTTAAGAAGACATTGTTGAAGTTGAATTTAAAAAGAAAATATCTCAGATCTTGTTCCATCTTTCTTTTTCAACTTATTTTTTTTTATAAAAATTTATGTGAGGGAACTCTCCGATTCGATTAGAATAAAACAGTGCAAGTACCTTAATAGTTCGTTCATTACTCCGTAAACTAGAACGTTTTGTACTCTTAACTTATTTAAGATACGTGTACATGTTATGGCTTGAGCTAGGCATTTTAGGTACTTTATAGGAAGGAGATCAAGTTTTGGTTTAGTTTCGAAGCTTGGTAATCATCAGTGTATCATTGCACGATAACAATAATGAGGTAAACTTGCAAGTCTAGGACAAAAATGTGAGAACGATTCGTTTTGGTCTCACCTGGTTCAAAGCATATTTCTTTCAACAATTGGATAGAATAATCACACGATTTGGAAACGTCAAGCACTCACTGCCTCAAACTCAATGGCCATACAAATCAAAATTATGTGTGAATGATTTTAATATTTAAGATAACGAAAACACATGTGTTCAAAGATGGTTTTTATTTCATGGCATTAATAATATCAAAAGGAGAAACCAACCACATGACATGACCTCTCTCCCTCTACAATGGATTCATCACTTATCGTTTATAACAACAACAAACGAAAGGTTTCTTGGGCTGCCTATATGGAGGACGGCAGTCTCCTGTATCGTACCCCTTTGTTACGCAGTGCGAGGTGCAATTATTTGCTTGATATGTGATGCTGCATAAAAGATTATCATAGCATTTCATCTGGACTTCCTCTTTATTAGCTTGGATCTCTGCGCTCACACACACATATACAAAATCAAATTTATATTTTCACAAATCAAGATCCTTTTACGATTTCTAAATCTTTTCCGACTTATGAAATCATCTTCCGATATAAAGCTCTTAACATTAGTATATAAAACAAAACAACATACCTGATTCCATATCGTTTTGGGTGGATAACGAAACAACCATTATAACCACAAGAGTGCAAGTCACTAAGATCTTTGTGAAACCCATTGCTCCTTTTTTTGTTTGTGTTTTGTATAAAGCTGTGTACTGAAATATATGAAACAATCTCGAAAAAGCTCTATTTAATCATCTTGGTACATAAAAGAAATCCCATTATTATAACATTTCCAGAAAACAATCTCAACAATTAATGTGATTTTATTTAATTTTCTTACCATAAAGAACTTGCTCTCATTGGTCAAAAACACTATATTTGGGTAAAAAATCTGACTAAGTATTAACATTTAATTAATTATATATATATATATTTCTATCATATCAATATTCCTACCCAAAAAAGTGAAAATCATATCTAATATATTTAATTTGTTTCTAAATTATTTAGTGTAAGTTTAAGGAATGTAGGATATTAAGACATTGTTGAAGTTTAACTGAAGAATATATCTCAGATCTTTGTTCCATATTTCTTTTTTGACTTTTGACTTTTTTTTTTTAATTAATGTGGGGGAACTCTCTGATTCGATTGAATAAAACAGAGCAAGTACCTTAATATAATAACATTTCATTTATTACTCCTTAAACTATAACGTTTTGTACTCTACTTATTTAAGATACGTGTACATCACTACATGTTATGGCTTAAGCTAGACATTTTAGGTACTTTATTGGAAGGAGATCAAGTTTTAATTTATTTTTGAAGCTTAGTAATCAATCATCAGTGTATCACACACTAATGAGGTCAGCTTGGAAGTCTAGGACAAAAATAGGGGTGTGTGCGGCAAAAATGTGAGAACGATTCATTTTGTTCTCACCTGGTTCAAAGCATATTTCTTTCCATAATTAGATAGATTTCAAGGAAAGATTATACGTTCGATTTGGAAACATCAAATCCCTCATTGCCTAAAACTCCACCAATACCAGTTCTGAAGTGAGCTTGGTACAACAAACGTTTTGAGAATCAGATCCACCTTTAAGGAGGAAAACGATATGATATAGCATGATTTTTCTTAATAACTAAGAGATTTTGGGTTGAAATCTATACATTTTTCAGAACATATTATATAGTCTCGTCCCAAGCGCTGCTCGAACCGACGACTTCTAATTTTTTGCCAAAATTCTATACTAATTGAGCTATTAGCATTTGGTAAAACACAGAAACATTGTGATCGGTAATTTTTTTCAGCAAAAAACTTTCTTCTCTAATGCTGATTTAACAATTGCGGTCTTGGAGGACAAAACAATATTTTAGAAACCACATGACATTTATAGGATAACAAAAACATGTGTTCAAAGATGGGTTTTTATTTCATGGCATTAATAATATAAAGAGAAACCACAGTGACCTCTCTCTCATAAAAGATGTAATTTAAAAGATTCATCATTATATATAATAACAACAACAAACGAAAGGTTTCTCAGGCTGCCTATATGGAGGACGGCAATCTCCTGTCTGATACCCGACTTTTAAGCAGTAGTTGGTGCAGTTATTTGCTTGATATGTGATGCTGCATAAAAGTTTTTCAAAGCATTTCATGTGGACCTCCCCTTTGTTAGCTCGGATCCCTGCGCACACACATATACAAAAAAAATCCAAATTATATTTTTTACAAACCAAGATTCTTTTACATTGTCTAAATCTTCTCCGATCCATGTTGTATGCTCTATAATATATTTTGGTTGCTCTTATGAAACAAATTACCTGATACCATATCGTTTTGGGTGGACAACGAAACAACCATTATAACTACAAAAGAGCAAGTCACTAAGATTTTTGTGAAACCCATTGCTCCTTTCTTACTGTATGTTTTGTGTAAAGCTGGCTACTGAATATATGAAACAATCTCGGACAAACTCTATTTATAAATACTCTTCATCTTGGGGCACATAAAAATACCATTATTATACACTTCCAATATAATCTAAACATTAATGTGATTTTGTTTTAATTTTCTTATAGTAAACAATTGCCTTTATTATTCAAAAACACCGTATTTGGGTAAGAAACTATTTAACTAAGTATTAAAAATTTATTATATATATATATATATTTCTATCATATATTTAATTTGTTTCCAAATGATTTATTGGAAGTTTAAGGAATATAGTATACCCAGTCAAATAATTTTGTTCACATCTCATAGTCAAATCTTAAATGGATACACAATCTCTTATACAGTAAAACCTCCATAATTAATACTCTATAAATTAATAAATTCTATAAATTAATAATAAATTTTGTTGTTTCCAGTGTAAAAATTAACCAAATTCGATAAGATAATAAGATAATAAGATATACATATATATAAGTAGATATATTAATGTATGCTTTTAGTTTTTTTTTTTTGTAAAAATGAATTTCTTAAAACTCATCTCTATAAAACAATTTACGTTATATTTTAAAACTACAATTATGTAATATACTCCATAACATGTCATCAAAATAACTAAACTAGTTTTTATGTTCCCAAATTCTAAATATGAATCATATTTATTTTTTAATTTTATAAGATGTTAAAATATAACAACTGATGTCATTAATTTGAATTTGTGTATATCATCTGTATAAGTGAGTATATCTATAATATCTAAAAGTCTAATCTTATTTTTGTAAATTTTGTCCTAATTTATATTACAAAAATCCTTCAAAGAAGATGATGATGTTCTTATATATATATATATATATATATATTTATTTT